CGCAGGGCTGCCCCCAGCGCCGCAGCCCTCGCCCTGCTCCCGGAGGCCGCTCCGCCCTCCCCTTCTTTTGTGACAAATCTCCCTAACTCGATGGTGAAGTGACAGTTTAGCTGTAGCTGGCGGTTACAGAGAGAGGCTTAACGCAAACAATCGGGCATATTCGCTTTTAAACCTCCGTTATCTAAAAATCATCGCCTTAAGCCCCACAAAAACAGGACCCTTGAACGCTTCGAACCGCTGGAGAAGCGTTGTGTGACCGGGGCTCCGCTCTAAAGCCCTTTCTGAGCGCTAGGTGGAGACAGGGCAGTCGCAATTTGTTACCACCACAGGAAAACAGCATCTTCTGAACTTAGACCTGGTCCAGCATTAAAAATATCCGTGTCCTCACTGCTTCCACACGCAGCGCGGGGCCACGGAGAGCGCGTGAAACGGCGCGTGCGCGTCGAGCGCGGTAACAGAACCGGTGCTGATGTCGGTGAGGGGCTTGTGTCGTGCGGTGCTTAAAGATCTCAGACTACAGCAGCCAAATCACGCACTACATTTTTTACTCAAGGTTATAAACGCTCGTGAACGCCCACTGATACGCCACAAACGAAGGTTTCTTTATGTTTTTTTATTAATAAATATCTTAACAGCACCAATGATCCTGAACGTAATCCTGCGATACTATGCACAGCAGCCATTTGCAGATTGCAAATATACATGACCAGATTTTCATGTACAGTTGTCTTTTTGTATTTGCTTGTAAACAAAGCAATCTCTTCCCTATTTAACACCTTTTATAAGATTGATCAAATAAGACGAAAACGATGCTTACTTTAACCTACTGACCCCTTTTGGATTTAAGGTGAGTCAGCATGTATAGGAGTGCTAAAATTTAAAGATAGATCACCGTGGCTTTAAAGGGTATCTCTTTGCGAGCATACGTGTGTTCAAATTCAACAACAAAAGAAGTCTTTTGGCCACCTTAAAATTTCCATGTGTGTGAAATCATTAACATTTTGACAACAAAAACTGGAAAAGAGTGTATTCCTATACATCAGAGTTCTGTACATTGATAAGCATTTATACAAATATAATCCACCAAATATTGGCTTCTACGTGCAATTCTGAAATATGGTGATTCATTTGGATTATCTAACCTTCAACAATGCTAGTACTAACATGAACATTTCAGGTTACTTTAACATCCACAGTGTACATTTGTTTTGCAAGGTGGATACAGATTTTCTCTGTATAAGTAGATTTACTTATGCATGGATTAAGTAGTAAAGTGAAGTTTGAACAGCATAGTCTGTGGTGTAGTAACATCAGCAACTGCAAGTTCCTGGCCATCCACAAGCCCCAATTCTGAAACAGAAAGAAAAGTTCAACTACAGCAAACACGTTTAAAAAACATTAAGCATGCCATCTCCACAAACTGTAATCAAGATGAAATAAAGCAGCAGGCAGCTCATTTGTTACACTGATATTAATCAAATTCAATCAGGAAACTAACAGAACTCGTCAAAAAATACATAAATCACTACTGAAGTATGTTAATGTACATCAGACTGTTTTGTTATAAAGGTTTTCTTCACCAGAAGACACCTGCCTGCGCTTCATAGTCAAGCAACTCAATGCTCATCCCAGAACAATTTAAGAAAACTATACTGCATGTAAAAAGGTAACTACTGCATACTAGAAACTTCTAAGTTTGGTTTTGCCTGCCATGGAAACGAACAATGTGAGAGATTTTTTTGCAAAGGATAGCCCTCCTTTTAAGTTTCTCTTTGAGAAAAATTCTATTTCAACCGTAATTTGTAGGGGAAACGGTGATCAATGATCTCACATAAATCAAGTCTTACTCTTTGCCCACATACCTCAACAGCTAAATATCTTCAATTAGGGATGTACTGACTTTGTTTACAGAGTTTAACTCTCCTGTTAGTGCAAAATAAAGCTGAACGTGCCATAGAGAGGCAAAAACTGAATGAATGTATCTTTCTGTTTAGAGGAGTATCTTGAAAATCTACATGTGTCAACTGGGTGATACCTTTCAGCGTCTTGGAAAGATTCGGCCTCGTTCGTTCTTCAATTGAAGCTACGGTCTAGAGGGAAGAGGAAAAAAAGCATTCTATTTCAAATCAAATTGAGTAAATTTAAAGAAGAGTATTAAACAAAATTAAGCAGATTCAGAATACCTGTAAGTAAAGTGTTTTATTCCCTCCATACATGGTTGCTGTGATTGCAGGAGACTTCATTTGCCTATATACGCATATATAAAACATTTTAAAAAAAGACAGATCAGAATGCATTTAGAAATGTCTTTTTTGATACACTAAACTAATAGCAATCATCAGGTAAGTCAGAATAGTTGCACACTTACAATGAAGCATTATTTGTCAAGTAATCCAAGATCTCCTGCAATTTAGCTGATGGGGAAATCTCTATGTTTTGGGGAAGCTGGCTGCAGGCTGGACAGTTCTCCTACAAAAAAGCAGCACAGTAGTGAAGGTTATGTTAAATATGCGTTTTAAAATGCTGCTAATAAAATTCTTGCAACTATTTACCATTTTATTTTATTTTCAGCTCTAGAAGTGTTAATACTGTTGCAAATATTACGGACAAAATGCAGTCCCCAGTGAAGTTGGTCACTCTTTGACTGACTGGCGCCCAACAGCAGCTATGTATGTATTCGTGAACTACAAATTTCATCTGACTTCAAGCTTAGGAGTACTACAAACTTGAAAACCATTGTTGTCATAACCTCTTTTTGAGAAGATTTGCTTCTGTGTTTTATTCTGTAAAATGCATTTCTTGATGTTACAGGGTAAATCTTTTGGATTTCTTTTCAAAAAAAAAAAAAAAAAAGACTGTTTTCCTCCACAGCTAACACAGCAACAGCCTATGATTGAATACCAGCATTGCACCAGCAGTCAGCATAACACTAGCTTTCTGAAGAACCTCCTTATACCAAGAGCTACTTTCTAAATAGCAAGAAACTTTGGCTCAACAAGCAAAACACTAAATACGCCCTTAACGCATACTATATAATTTTTTGGTAAACTGATGGGTAGAAGAGCAGGTTTTAGCACTGTCCCCAGGTCATCAAATGCTTCCATTAAATAAAACATCTTCATCAGGAGGTAAATCTCACCCAGATATGACTAGTCCTGCTGCTTTATGTGGTTAGGCCCCCGCTGTCATCACTGTTAGACCCCAAAACCACTCCAATAAAACAAAAAACCTCTTCATACATACTGACCACAATATTCTGGAGAAGGAGCAGACTGGCAGCATTTTAGTTTCTCCTTTTAAAACTTAGGAAGTACTTAGGTATAGTGCCAGGGCCAGAGAGGTTCAACTCTGGGTTTCAGAAATTCATAGAAACTGCAGTAACCGCAATAAAAATCCAGGAAACAACCCTGCAAGCCTTTAATGGTACTAACCTTTCTTTCAGCTTCAAACGTGTATGTGTATAATCCATCCACATCATTGAACACCAAGTAGTTGTTAAGAGGAATGTATGCACTATAAGGACAAATAAGTTAGTGCTAATATA